AATATAAACTTATAATCTTATAGTAAATTCTAACCTTTTCTAACCTCTTCTAAGCTAGTCTAGACTCTACTAGCTAACTTTAAGCACTCTATATCTCTTTATCTCTAGCTAGAGTCTAACTCTTACTTTAAGTAAGGTTATTAATAATAATATTCTTTTTCTATAAGTATTTTTCTACTATAATATTATTAATATGTATAACTTCTAACTATAATATCTTATACCTAAGACTTTAATCTTATATTATACATCTCTAACCTAGTTTATATATCTAGTAATAGCTTCTATACTAAAGGCAACTTATATATAAATAGGTTAATAAAAAATAGAATAATAGCGTAATAAGTATAGCTTAGACTTATATAAAGAGTAATAATAATATAGTAAAGTATTAGATAATAGCGTAATAGGTGTAGCTTAGATTTATATAGAGGGTAATAAGAATATTAATAAAGTAAATAGTAATTTAGCGTAGTAATTATAGCTTAGATTAATTAAGTAGATATTAATCTAACTAAAGAATATTAGTATAATTTATTTATTAGATATTATACTAATAAAAAAGAGAAGAATAATTATACTTAATAAGTAAGATTAAAGTGTTAATAGATCTATATGTCTTAAACCTTTACTTTCTTAGCTAGTAGACTAATAGACTTTATAGCTGCGCTAGTAGTAAACTACGCTTATTAAGGTTAAGGTAGTTTACTAAGTATGTTAATTAAGAATAAAGCTAGAGAAGAGAGACTCTTCTTAGAAGTAACCTTAGCGTTATTACTATTCTTATTAGTCTTAGCTTTACGCTTATAAGAAGTAGCTACTTTCTTAGTAGTAGTAAGCTATAGAAAGTTAGTAAAGTTTATTAAGTTGTTACTATTACTTATCTATATATAGCAGAACATTATACTACTTCTTATTACGCTAGCTAGGTACTACTTCTTATTAGTAGTAGCTCTAGCTAAAGTAATTACAACTTATATAGGTATATAATAATTAGGTAATTAAGCTTATATAAGCTGCGCCTTTTACTTATAAAGTGTTATAGCCTTCTTAAAAGTAATCTTAGTATTATTACTATTTTTATTAGTTTTAGCCTTTTACTTATAAAGTATTATAGCTTTATAAAAGGTTAGAGAGGTTTACTAAATTATTACTATTACTTACCTACGCATAGTAAATAGAATATTATACTACTTCTTATTAGTAGTAGCCTTAGCTGCTAAAGTAACTATAATATATTAGATAGATAATAATTAAGCGCTATAGTTACTATAATATAAGAATATTATTTCTAAGCGTCTACTACTCTATAGTTATAACTTATATTTAGTAGTTAATAATAAACTATTAGCGTGTGCTTAGCTAGGCTACTAAGGCTAAATATTATTAGTATATACACGTAGTGTTATTAAGAGCAAGAACTTATAGGTCTTAATAGTCTTATTCTCTAAGTTCTCTTTAACCTTAGAAGTAGGTAACTTCTTCTTTTTTAGATAGCTATAACCTTTCTAAGCATCTAATAATTAAGCGTATTATTATTATTATTATTATTATTATTAGTAGAAGTAGATATAGAAGTAAAAGAGATAGAGGTAAGTAAGTAGTAAGTAGAGATTTACAGCGCTTTAGAGTCTATACTTATATTATTAGCTATTACCTAGACGTAATAAAAGTAAGAGTAAGTATAGTTTATAGACGCTATAGTAATATATATAGAGTTACTTAATAATTAGATAGTAAGTAATATTTCTAGCTAATAGAGTATAACTATAGTGTAGATATTTTAATAGCTATAAGAATAGTAAGAAAAGAGATAGAAAAGCGTTATAATAATAGTAATAGTAATAGTAAGCTATACTAATAAGTAATCTAAAAGCTCTACTATAGTAGATATTTACTATAGTAACTATACGCGTTTTAGCAAAGCATAGTATTATTATAATTAGCTACTATAGTAGCTATTAGTAACTATTTAGATGTAAGTAAGGTAAGTAGAGGTAAGATAGTAGAATAATAAACATAGCTAACTAAACTAAGACTTTAATAGTTCTATACTAGATTTGTATATATTAATATTAGTACTATAAAATACTACTCTAACCTCTTTTTGTCTAGAAGGTCTATCTTAAATTAACTAATCTACTATATAACGCTAATATATTCTAAGCACGCTAGCTTAATTATACTAAGAATACGTTTAAATAAACTAGTTTTATATTCGCTACAGTACACTAAGCTCTCTATCTCTAGTTAGTATAATAATATTTTCTAGCTCTAATAATAGAGACAAAGTAAAGCGCACACTTAATATTAACGCTAAGTTACTATTCTTATATAGTTTACTACTTATAATTTTTTACTATAACCTTTACTTATATATATATAATAAGCTTTATAGAGACTAAAGATATAACTATAATCTTACTATAAAATTAGTAATTCTAATAACGCGTTTAGTACTAAGTACACTATAATATTACTTTGCGTATAATAGAAGAGTAAATATAGGCTTACGCGTCTTTAAGTAGAAATTATCTAGACTTAGAATTATATAGTATAACGTAGTAGTACTAGTGTATTATTATATAATATTATAAAAGCAACGCAATGTAGAAGGTTAGATAGTATTATAATAAGAACGCGCTAGTTTATAGTAGTAGGTGTAGTCTAAAGCTAGAGTAGCGTAGGTAAAGCCTTTTATAACTTTTAGAATATAAAGAAAGTAGTATAATAGAAGTATTACTATTCTTATTATAGTTATAAGAGTAAAAAAGAGCTAGTAGGTATACGCGCCTATAGATAGGCTAGATCTCTAAGTAGAATAAGCCTAGAAGTAGCTATCTAGAATACGCACGTAATGTAATAAATTAAATTAGACTTTAAAATCTGTTAGCTCTTATTATAATAATAAAATAGTATTATAACCTTAATTACTATTAGTGCACTTTATAGATAATAGCTATATATTATAGAATAATATATACTATACACTTATTAATTTATAAGACTTACTTATTATATTTTTATATTAGTAGTTAATGTTGCGTAGTAAGTTAGGCGTTAGACGCGTTTTATTATTTAATATGTGCCTAATAGCTATCTAATATTAATATTTGCCTAATATGCTATTATACTTTAATATCTAACAGTACCCTAACATATATGCTAAATAATATATATTTTTAACGTTATAGTAATAGACAAGCTTTATAATTCTTAAAATGTGTTATACTTTACAATTTAATATTAAACGACGTCGCTATTCTGTCCGCCTCACAGATCGCTATCGCGCAACCCGGGTTTAGCGGTATGGTAGATACTCTCTGCCTTCGGCGGTGTATTGAAATCTCCAATATCAATATCAAAAATAGGCAAGCGAAGCACATCATCTTGAGCCGAACGGAAAGTCGGAGATCATTCGCACCGATACTTCCATTTCCAGAACACGAGGATGTCTATGCCACCTTGGCGAACATGTCCAACACTGCGGAATACACCACCAACAATACGCCACCACCAGGTCCAAACCTTAAGATCTTCGCCACATAGCCCTTGTACAACGCCCTGAACCCTTCTTCCCTCGCAACAACCCCCAGGCTCGGCCACGCCCAAGCGTACTTTTGTCTTACACCAGGCGTCTTGGCAACGCTCTGTATACGACTCTTGACAACATCCAGTGGTGTGTTGAACGTCGTCCCTACAACACCGCCTACGAACCCTGCTATGAGGTCGTTCCCCATCTTCTGCCTTCTTGGATTGCTCGAGGTTGCCGGGGCAGGCAGCTGAGCCCGTACCTGGAAGATGCAGCCAAAGTACCCGGCATTCCATACGATATGTCGCCATAATGTGGCTTCAAAGCCGTTGTACAACGCCAATGGACCTTCTTGGCGGACTACCTTGACGAGACAGTCAAGCAGCCCATTGTAGCGTGACGCGGATGTCTTGTCTTGAAGTCGGATCTTGAGGAGCTCGAAGGGAACGACAACAAGAGACTCGGTTGCGCCAGCGCTGGCGCCGGTGAGGATTGCGAGCGGTTGGGTCAGGCTTGGGGCTGAGAAGAGGCGTTGATAGAACTGCGTGAAGGAGTCGTTGGCCGAGAACTTGATAGCACTGTTTTCAATCAGTCGCAATCGACGAAGACATGAACTCGGGTCGTACCGCTTGGGAACCTCCATCAGTATAGGCGCAGTGATGCCACGATATAGTCTTGATACACCTTCATTGCGAATGATCTTTCGGAAGCAGTCCAGAACGCCACTGTACCCTTCACCATCAACGACTTTGCCATGCTGAAGTTGAATTCGTGTTTTGACTACGTCAAGCGGGTACCTATCTACATTCTTAGCACTCTCTTCTGACCTCCGATACCAAGACAATCTCACATTACCAAGATCTCCGATATCCCAGCTACAGCTCCGGCAGCAAATTGGTAGCGAAAAGGCAGTGGTACTGCATCGTTGCCATTGCCAACGGGAACCTTCTTGGTCGCCATGTTGAAAACACGTACTCAATACAATCTGGACTTTCACGCGTTCAGCATGCCGTTACCAGCCATGCAGCCCTTCCACCATCCACCACACTACCAGTACGCCTCCCATCCCCACTACCTCCATCATTCCACACGAACGGCTCTTGCAATATCAAGACCACATGGCACATGCAGGGCACAATACACCCGCGATATGGCCAAGAGCGTGTCGCGTGAAGGACGTTGTGGGGTGCATACTGATGGCGCATGTGGGGCTCGGCGTTCCGGTGAGATGTGGGGCCTACGCGAAACGTCACTTTGCTGACCGTCGACACGCGGCTCAGGAAATTTCGGTGGCTGACTCTCGGACAGTTGCGTCCCAATGCGTCGGAAAAATCGGACCTCGGAGATGAAGTGTCTGAATCATGTGAGGACGTGTGTGCTCGCGCTTGGTACTCTAGTTGTTTGTTTTCGGACGCGTCTTCGCGATGGGGGATTTGGAATACTGGGTACGCGAATACTACGCCACTGTCTATGCGACTACCTTCTTCTCTCTCAGCTCTCTGATCCCAGCCTCGTCGTACCCCAGTACGTCCCTCAATATCTCATCCGTATGCTGACCCAACAACGGCGGCGGACTCCTGATCCGCGGCTCTGCTCTCGAATATTTGACCGGATGATTGACAAGCTTTACCTTGCCTACAGCAGGGTGCTCAACCTCTTCGATCATATTACGCGCAAGAACGTGCTCGTGCTCGACCGTGCCCTTGATGTCGTTGACAGCCGCGTACGGCATGCCGCTTCCCTCGAAGATCTCCAACCATTCCTGCGTTGTCTTGGTCATGAGCTCGGCCTCTACGAGCGTGTCGATCTCCGTACGGTGCTTGACGCGGAGCGCGTTCGTGAGGAAGCGGGGATCGGTCTTCCATTCTGGACGTTGTAGCTTGTCGCAGAGGATGCCGTATAGGCGGTCGTTGCAGCCGCCGACTGCGATGTTGGTATCTTTTGTCTTGTAGGCTCTGTAGGGTACTACTGTCGCTGTGGTGGAGTCAGCATCGCCATTCTGGCGAATAGCTCATGTATGCGCTCACCGTGTGCAGTTCCCCATCGTCCGCTATCGCCCTTCCCTGTCACCAGCGCGCTGCTGGCGATGTTTGCCAACCCCGCGACCTGCACGTCGCTCAAACTTGCGTCGATCCACTGACCTAAGCCGGTCTCTTTCCGCGAATACAACGCTGCTTGTATGCCGATCGCAGTGTACATCCCGGTCATGATATCCGTCACCGCTACGCCGACCTTGACTGGGGGCCCATCGCGCTCACCAGTAATATGCATCAAGCCCATCTCGGCCTCAACCATCACGTCGTAACCCGCGCGGTCGCGGTATGGCCCAGTTTGCCCATAGCCGGTGACAGACGCGTATATCAGAGAGGGATTGAGCTTCGCAAGCGTCGCGTAGTCGAGTTGGTACTTGGCGAGTGATCCGGGCAGGTAGTTTTCGACGAGGACATCGCACTCTTGGGCTAGTCTATGGAGGATGGAGATACCAGTGGGATTGTTGAAAGCGAGTCCAACAGACTTCTTGTTGCGATTCACCTGCATCATGTTAGCAGTGTAAACGACATGGTCGCGCGGCAAATCCTACAGAAAGATAGTATGCGCTTTCGCCAGGGAATTGGCGCTCGATGCCATCGGTGTAGGGCGCATCTGGTGGACCCCAGGATCTCGTGTCGTCACCTCTTGTAGGGTGCTCGATCTTGATGACATCCGCTCTGAACGCTCGTCAACATGCGTAATGTCCAATTTTCCATTCATTGCTTACCCTAGATCTCCAAGAATCTGTGTACAGTATGGCTACTTGATGTTAGCGACCATGAACCTCTGTCGGGAAAACATTCACATACACCTGCAAGCACCCGCGTCATATCTAGCACTTTGATGCCAGCCAAAGGTAGTTTCTCAACCATCTGCTTGTCTACATCGCTCTTAGTCGCAATGTTCCTCCTCCATGATTGCGACGTTCGACCTGAGATACGATTAACCGCGTGTCGAAAGTGCGCGCGTTGAGCCGCTTTCGCGACAGCTCCAAAAGAATACGACATGATCTTACTCCAGACCTGCCATGCCAACACACCGTCATGTTAAAGAACACGAGCATAACTTCTTGAAGTTCCTGCCCCACATGACGCTTGTGGGGTCGGCAAAGGGTATGGAGTGTGAATGCACAGACGTTTCTAGTTCGCTATGCCAAAGCCTGCGATGCTCATTGTGTCGAATTGAAATTATCGTGTACATGTAGTATCGGAGAAAGCAAAATTACATCGCTAAAACGCCTACAAACTCTCAAGACCCTGAAAATAGATACCCAATCATGCGTGGACGCCGTTCGTCCCGTTGGTCTTTGACTCGGGGCTCAAATATTGCTTGAGCTCCTCCGCGTGGACACCATCCGTATCGCTGGTATTTGCGCCATGTGAGAAGCCACCAAAGTAGTATGGTGCAAGCCTCTTCTTCTCAGCGATCTTGTCGTCTTTGATCCGGGCAAGCAACTCCTGGGCTCTCTTGTTGGCGGAGAAGCGGTCCGGAAGAGCATCCCAGACCTTGTAATCGGTACCGTGGGTCTCGATTGTTCCGCAGCCTTTACGAGCGTACTCAGTAAAGAGGAATAGACGGCTCGATTCGACCATGATGGTCAATTGTTCTAAGAGGCTGTTAGTACGTATTCGACCACTCGGCGATGCGGTTAGCTTACCAGTCAGTATCTTCTCGGGCTGGCTCTCGTGTATCCGCATGCCGTGCTGGTATCCCTCATGGAATCCACCGTGAGGCGTGTGGCCACCCTCGAAGCTACCACCACCGGGCTGGAAGTCGTCGCTTCGTCCAAGACCTTGTCCGTATAAACAGGCAAGGAACTCTGACGCGGAATTGCGGTGGAAGTATGGTAACCGGAAAGTGTTGGTTGCAACGTCCCATCTTGGACCGAACCAGAGGAAGTCTGCGAGTGGTGTCATGGGATCACGGGACTTGGCTGTGAGCACTGTGAAGATCGAAGGATCAGTGTGGTCGATAGATGTACTGTTCTGTGACGAGAACTTCGTCAGATCGTATTTGTAAGGTACGACGTTGCCGTGCCATGCGACAAGGTCGAAGGGGCTGTGGTCTTGTTGGATCGCGACGAGCTGACCATTCGTCTTGTTGACAATCTGCCAATCGACGTGCAAATCATCATCGATAGCAGCTACCGGGTAGAGGAAATCGCGAGGGTTGGCAAGACCGTGGCCGCCTAGTGGGCCGAGATCAGGAAGCTCCCACATAGAACCCCAGACTTCGGTGATGTAGCCACGCGCCACTGGCGTGCCTGGGGCTAGATTGAGGCAGAAGCGGATGCCGCGCTGGATGACACAGATCTCACCGGGCTGTAGGAAAATCTTGCCCATCTCTGTCTTGATATCTAGATTACCCTGTTGGGCACAGATGAGGAAGTCACCGTCGGTATTGCAGAACGCTCGCTGCTCCATACTAGAGTTAATCATATACACGTATAGCGCAAGACCCTCCTTGATGTTTGGGTCTCCGCTACCGCAGAGAGTATGCAGGCCATCCGCGAAGTCAATCTTCTCGTCGTCTTTTGGCAGTGGGAACGGACGCCATTCTGCTTGCTCGGGAAGCGTGTCGACCTTGGGATTGATGGACAAGAAGCAGTTTGTGATGTTGGACTTTGTCTCGATAGGAACGTAACCCTCTGTCACATGTTAGCCAATATCTGCGAGAACTTGCCGCAATACGTACTGTGAGCAGCCGCTGGTCGACACCGGTACATATAAGTGCTGAAGTTGTGTGCACGTGGAGCTGCGAACGCTGAATACGTAATGCCTTCAGTGTAAAGTCCAAACCGGACTTCTTGAGGGTTGTTCTGAGCGACAGGTAGAGTGCCAGGAATGACCTCAGACTGATGTCGGTTTCCCCATCCTGCTTGGTAGTCGTAAGGATCGTTTGCACGCGTTGGCTTCAGTCTTTGGAGATCGGTGAAGTGAAATGCCTTTTGGGGGTCGGTAACGAGCTGGCGTTCTTTGAAGTCTTGCATGGTGTTTAGCGTATGACGATGATTGTAGGAGTGATCTAGCTTACCATGTAAAGATTTCAGCCTTATATTGGAGTATCCATGGCCGTGGAATGCTAGGCCGACATCTGCCGCACTTGGGTGGTCCGGCCTGCGCATCGTATGTGGTGGCGGGGCCCGACCCTGATAATAGCGGGGTTTCCGTTTCGGTAACTGGGCTACGGGAGCTGTGAGAGGCCCACATAGTGGCCGCGACCGGGTTAGTGGAACTCGTCAGATGAAAGTATGATAGCCTTTCCCACATGGAGGTTATGGTAATGTGGACGTGGCGCACTTGCGGGGTTCTTCATTGCTTCTGAGAAGAGCACCAATCGAGAATATAGTGCTGACTCAGATGAACCAGTCAGAATGTGGTTCTCCCTCATATCTACGCATGGCGATTGTTGTTCCCTGATGAATGACATGGATGTGATCTATTTGGATGCAGCTAAGACCTCGTCCACCATGAGTCCACATGAGCCTAGATAGTTCTTTGCATCGCACAATGAGCTCAGCTCTTCGCCGGAGATCTTATCGGTAATCTCGGGTCGTGTCTGTAGAGCTTCCAACAAGCTGGTGTCGTTCTCAATGCTTTCTTTGCATGCCTCGTAGACAACGTCGTGAGCTTTTGACCGACCGACGTGCGGAGCAAGACCCATCATGACAGCTTCTGCGACAATAAGACCTCTAGTGGAGTAGAGGTTCGTGAGCATCTGCTTCGAATTGACTACCAGACCAGAGAGCGCAAAGTCAGCTTGGTATAGCGCTCCAACAGCCATAACGAAGCTCTCCGGGACGGCCACCCATTCGAGATGCCATGGACCGGAAGCACGCTCGAAGTCCGATACCATGCCATCCAGCACCAAGCCAGCATTCGATCGCAGGACCTTCGATGCGGCTAAGATGACCTCGCTCGAGATGGGATTTCGCTTCTGAGGCATAGTTGAGGAAGCACCGCGGTGTGGTACAAAGGGCTCTGACACTTCCGAGAGCTCATTGGAAGACATGATGATAATGTCTAGGGCAAGCTTGCCGAGGGTACCACCAACAAGCGCGAGATAGTTGGTGATCTCTGCAACACCATCTCGGGCGACGTGCCAGGTGATCGGAGGATCTGTCAGACCCAGGTCTCTTGCCATTTCCTTTCGAACACGAATGCCATCATCGCCCGAACCTAGTGAAGCCAAAGAACCTGCGGCGCCTCCGAACTGTACCATCAAGGCGCGAGGTTTGAGCTGCTCAAGACGCTCGAGATGTCGTTGGAACCCAGATAGCCAAATAGCGCACTTGTGGCCAAAAGTGATAGGAAGAGCATGTTGAAGATGGGTGCGACCAGCCATGGGTGTATCCCGGTGCTTTCTTGACAGGTCTTCGAGGTTTTTGATGACGGAGCGGAGTGTGCGCTCAACGATTTCGAGGCCCTCCTTCATCTGCAGAATGCTTGCCAGATCCATAATGTCCTGTGTTGTTGCTCCCCAATGCACGTATCGCCCAGCCTCCTCACCGCACGATGCAGAGAGCTGTCGCACCAAAGGAAAGATGGGGTAGCCGACGATTTCAGTTTCGTTGCGTAGCCTATCGTAGTCCAGTTCGACTTCGCGAGCTTTGGCCGTCACAATCTCTCCGATATGAGATGGTATGACATTGCATTTTGATTGTGCTCTTGCCAAAGCAGTCTCAGCATCAACGCATCGATTGATATACGCTTTGTCGTCGAAGACCTTTCTGATCTCATCGGTTCCAAACAGCGTACGGAAGATTACTGAGTCGATAGCGCTCACGCTGCCGAGAGATCGCCGTTGGAGACGAAGGGTGGTTTGCCGGGGGATGGCACGCAGTGGGACGCGTCGAAACAGGAACATGATGTGTGTTGCAGTGGGTGCAGCACCTCAATGAGTTACGAAGGGGAGGTGAAGCTCCAAAAGGAGCTCCAGCACTATGCAAGCATAGTGGCCTTGAAGCGGTGGACGTGTGGGACGCGGGTGCAGCCAGCATCCATGGATCGTGTGGGGAAGACAATGCCGGCCTCCAGGCTCGGAAGCGGCCAGCCTCTGCATTCCGCGCTAGCAATTGGAAGTGGCTAGACTCTTTGTGCACGTGATGCGCGCGACACTTTCGTGATTTGCATCAACACAACCTATCGCATTTCTATGGAACTACGACTCTCGAACGAACAACGAAGCAACGCCTAAGCCGGTACTCGCGCACATGCTGACGATACCCATCTCTTTGTCCTGACGCAGCAGCTCGCCGAACAATGTGGCAGTCTGCCGTGCCCCGGTCGCGCCGGTGGGATGCCCAAGAGCTATCGCACCTCCGTTCGGATTGACGTTGTCTTCATCGAGACCCAGCTCCCGAATGCACGCAATGGTCTGGCTTGCAAACGCCTCGTTGAGCTCAATGATATCAACGTCCTTCAGCTCAACACCTGTCCACTTTAGAAGTGCTGGTATGGCGTATATTGGGCTAATGCCCATCTCGTCGGGGGCGCAACCCTTGACCTGGGTGCCAACGAAGCGGCCAAGTGGCTTCAATCCACGTTCTTCAGCCCACGAACGTCGGGCGAGTATGGTAGAGGATGCGCCATCCGATATTTGGGATCTGAAAGGTCAGCTTTGCGAGGGCTTTGAGTCATGTCTACTTACGAGTTGCCTGCGGTACTCTTGCCGTTCTCGCCGAACACAGGCTTGAGCGTCGACACTTTCTCAAAGGTCAACCCATGCCGAATGCCGTCGTCCTTGGTGACTTCGTGCCCTGCAGGCTGGCCTGTTGCCTCGTCCATCCTCTGAACCGTTACGGGCTCGATCTCCCAATCAAAGCGACCTTCCTTTTGGGCGCGACTTGCGCGCCCATGACTTCGCACCGCATATTCATCTTGCGACTTCCTGTCAACCTTGTATCTTTCCGCTACGTTCTCAGACGTGATTCCCATAGGCATAAGACAGTCGCGCGCATCTTTGACGGTCGACCCAAGCAGCGTGGGTGAGACATCGGCTGGGATGCCCCGCGAGCTGTAGTTTCTCGACATGCTCTCTACACCGCCAGCCAGCCCCACGTCAATCTGACCCACCATGATCGAGTGTGAGATGTGGGTGATGGCTTGTAGACTGCTCGAGCATTGCCGATTGACTGTATGGAAGGTCGTGGAGTTTGGAAAGCCGGCATGATTCAGCGCCATGCGCCCTGTCTTCGCGAAGCCCAGTTCGGCGAGTACATTCCCAATCATAACATCGTTGACGTCGACTTTTTCGATGCCAGCTCGCTGTACTGCAGCTTTCATAATCTGTTGTATTCAGCAACAGTGCAGCGCGTTCTCCTGCCGAGACTCACCGGCATCAGGATGTCTTCTGGATGAGCATCTTTGTAACCGCCCTTGGAACTACGATTGATTGGCGACCTGACCGCAGAAAGTAAAACTACATCGTTGGGGCTTTTCTGCAGCACATTGCGCGCGGCTTTGCTAAAGGACGCCATTTTGGCACAACAACTGATAATCTACGCGTCGCATTGGTCCAGGAATGCCTATTGTATGATCTCACAGGGCCGAGAAAGTGCCGCATCGTGGTTGCGGCGAGAGCTGTGGCGGGGCGACGTGTATGTGTGGGGCAGGAGCGCGAGACCCCTCCATGCCGACTCGGGCAACAACGCAATGATTCTTGCCGAATCTAGCTTGCATGCGGACGCGACCATTTACTTTGAACATTTTCACGCGCAAACTGATCTCAACAAGACATTACACGATGGCGCTCCCGAACAAGTACCAGAATGGCAGCATTGACTCCTCTACCAAGGGAGTGTACAGGGCATCGCCCGTCAAGCTCATGATATACGGAAATGGTAGGCAGACTGCGGTTACGAATCGAATAGAAAACTTACATGTTCGCACAGGAACGAGCAGCCAGCTTTCAGATGTCATTGCCGAGCTCGGTGCTACAAAGGCCTTCATCATCACCGGACGATCTTTATACGAGAAGACTCCCGTGATCAAGAACATTGAGAAGACACTTGGTTCTGCGCATGGTGGTACATTCAGCAAGATCGGACAACACGCGTATGTGGAGAGCTGTTGAAGTATGACAAGCGCAGGCTGACAAGTCCAAGACCGATTCAAGATATCAAAGAAGCCACCGCGCTGATGACAAAGTCCGGATGCGATGTACTCATATCGATAGGCGGTGGCTCACCCATTGACTCAGCCAAAGCCATTGCATACAATATTCACGAGGAGACCGGAAAGTGGATTCCTAGTATCGCTGTACCAACAACACTGAGTGTAGCTGAGACGACGCAAAACGCTGGCTTCACCACCGAAGAAAAGCACAAGATCGCCGTGAGCAACCCAGAACTTGTACCCAAGGGTAAGCACGATGTCGGATGGTCGGAGAGACTCAGGCTAATCAAATTCAGCTGTGGTATACGATGGTGAACTTGCTGTATACACACCCTTGAACCTCTGGACAAGCACAGGAGTAAGTTCATCATCTCCCCAGGCGATGAAGTCTCTGACACACTGGCAGATTCGATCGCTGGACCACGCAGTGGAGCTGATGTACCACCCTCTCGCCGCCGAGATCCCGACAAAACGCATGTCTTTGGAAGCTATCAAGGATCTCTTCACATACCTACCACAATCGAAGGCCAACCCCAATGACGCCGAAGTGCGAACCAAGCTTTTCGTTGCTTGTTACTCGTCACTCTTCCCCTTCCTGTACACTGGCGGAGTCGGCCTCAGTCACAGCATCGGCCATGCGATTGGTGCAACATACAGCATTCCGCATGGTATCACCAGCTGCCTCAGTCTCGCACCGACGGTACACTTCAAGGCGAGCAACCCAGAGGAAGCGAAGCAAATCGCTAGGATCATCCCATACATCGGGAAGCAAAGTACTGGCAGCGACGAGAAGGATTCCCACGTCGTTGCTGACGCCATTGCTGGACTGGTCGAAGAACTGGGACACAAGACCACATTGACAGCTGTAAGTAGCTGAAGCATGCCGAGGAGGCCATTGCTAACGTCCAATAGTACAATGTGCCTACTGGCGATGCGGAAGAAGAAGCTATCGCATCGCGTGCGCTACACAGCAAAGACCACAAGGACTTCGCTAGCCGTAAGTTGTCGCGCATTTTCTCCGGAAATCCTCTAGCTGACATATGCTGCAGTGAAGCAAATCGTGCACGACCTGTACTAAACGACTTGATGGGTTTGTCATGTAGCGTCCATAGTAATACATATCTACCAACTCTTCAATACAGACGTGCCAAATGTGCCCGCATCTCGTCAATGACCATCATCCTTTCGCACACGCGTTGGCGCGTCAGCACGTGAGCCAGCTATCATGGCTCGGCCTTGGAAATGTTTTCCACGTTGCCTTTTTCCGCGTGTGGCTTCGCCCAATGAACGTGCGTTTTGGCCGCAACCTCCGCATCTTGGCCGGCTAAGTCCTCATCCACCTCCGATTGTGGAGCTTTGCTCTTACCCGCCATCGGCACGGCATTTGCATCGGTCTGACCCAATCGGTTATTTGCTGTCATGCATGCCCTCGTGGTGCTCGTGTGGGGAGCGTCATCTCCGCTGTACACCACAATTCTACACGCGATCTTTGTGCACTGAGGTTTGTGGAGAGTTTGACGCTTCAATCTGGTGTCGATTGAGCTGAGCTTACACTTTGGAATTGGACAACGCCATCGACAACCTCTGTGCCATCTCAAGCTGAGCCAAGCGATCCGAAACCCATCGTTCCGACTTCACTTCCTCGATACTTTGCGACTCACGACTACGAACCCCACGATGCAACGTTCTCTCCTTTTCTCGGCGCGCCGCCGCGGCCCAGCGACGGGCATGCGATTCTTCTCTGCCAGCGCCTCTCGCCCAGCCATCAACAAGATCGTCTCCTCCGCACAAGAAGCTATCAAGGACATGAAGTCAGATTCCACAGTTCTGGTCGGTGGATTCGGCTTCTCAGGAGTGCCGAACACCCTTATCAACGCTCTGCGCGACCGAAGCGACCTTACAAACTTCACAGTGGTCAGCAACAACGCCGGTATGCCAGGTGTCGGGCTTGGACAGCTTCTGGAGACAAAGCAAATCGGCACGATGATTGCGAGTTACATCGGAGACAACAAGGTGTTTGAGCAAATGTACCTGAAGGGACAATTGAGTCTGCAGTTGACCCCTCAGGGTACCATCGCAGAGAAGTGCGCTGCTGGTGCTGCGGGTGTACCGGCTTTCTACACACCAGCGGCTTATGGAACAATAGGTATGCGGATCTCACCATGATTGGACAATTACAAGGCATAGCTAACACCATCCAGTGCAAACCGGCGAACTCCCTGTACGATACAACACCGACGGTACCATCGCGAAGATGGCCCCTCCGAAAGAGACCCGCGAGTTCAACGGCAAATCTTACGTCATGGAAGAAGCCATCTTCGGTGACTACGCCTTCGTCAAAGTCGCCAAAGCCGATCGTCTCGGCAACTGCCAGTTCCGCAAAGCACAAAACAACTTCAACGAAGCCATGGGCAAGAACGCGAAGATGACGATCGTCGAGGCCGATGAGATCGTTGAGGATGGAGAGATCGCACCAGAAGACATTCATCTCCAGGGCATATACGTAAAGAGGGTGATTAAGAGCACAGTGGGCAAGGAGATCGAGCGGAAGGTCTTCTGGAAGAGCCCAGAGGAGCAGAAGAAGGCACTGCTGGAGGGTGGTGAGTTCAAGAAGACAACAGCATGGGAATGCCGTGGCTAACGGTCTTACTAGGCTCGACCGAATCATCACAGAAGCGCGAGCGGATCATCAAGCGCGCGGCACAAGAACTAAAGGACGGCATGTATGTCAACCTCGGTATCGGCATGCCGCTGGCAGCACCTGCCTTCCTGCCCGAGGGTACTGAGATCGTTTTGGAGTCTGAGAACGGAATCTTGGGTATGGGAAGGTATCCCAAGCCTGGCGAGGAGGTAAGAATGCGATAACAAAGGGATGCCCACAGTGTGGCTAATGAGCTCAGGACCCCGACCTTATCAACGCCGGAAAAGAGACTGTAACTCTCATCAAGGGCGCATCAACGTTTGGCAGCCACGAGTCCTTCGGCATGATCCGATCAGGTCGGATAGACGTCGCCATGCTAGGTGCCATGCAAGTGAACCAATACGGAGGTTCGTACTATACTGTTCAATGCATACCTTTCATCCCACTAACTATCCCTAGACCTCGCAAACTTCATGCTTCCCGGAAAGGTCAAAGGCATCGGCGGCGCAATGGACCTAGTCGCGAACCCCACACAAACCAAAGTCGTCATCACCATGGAACACGTCGACAAGAAGGGCAACCCCAAGATCCTGAACCAATGCACATTCCCTCTCACAGGACAAAAGTGCGTGAGCACCATCATCACGGACCTGGCAGTATTCGACTGCGATCGTGTCGAGGGTTTGACCCTGAAGGAGCATGCCAAGGGCGTCACCGTGGATGAGATCAGAAGCAAGACAGAGGCGCCATTCAAAGTCAGTGAGAATCTGAAGGAGATGAGCGTGTAGGCGAGTTGAAGTAAAAAAAAGATACCAACACTGAGCGCGCAAGCTAAAGATCTCTACCCATTCATTCGAAGATTCTGCTAATCTGAGCCTATCGACTACCGCCCTCCACAGCATCCAAAAACACATACGCCGGCGCCGGCATATCCTCACTAATATCACCCCAAGCACTCCAATGTTTCCAGACCAATTTCTTCTGCTCAATCTCATCCGCAATCGCAATCGCCATATCCGCGACACTAATCCCCGTCAACCTCTCCTCAAAAACATCTTTACCTTCCTGCTGCTCACCCAGCAACACCATATCATCAACGCTGGTCTCATACTTTCCAGTCCTCTTCCCGGGACGATACAAAGCAGACGGCGAAACAAAACTCCAATCGAAGTTCTTCCGGTCCTCGAAGAACATGTACGCCGTCCGTCCTGCTTTGATGAAGTCTGATGCGTTGTCTTTGGCGCGGATCTGTTTCTCGTAGTCTGCTATCACAGTCTTGTCTTCTTCTGTGGTGGTTCCGGAGCTCTCTGCTAATCTGGCTTCACGATAGCGTCGCAGCGAGGTACCCATGATACCGAGGCGCTCTTCCATGTATGCAATGTGCGCTAGTGATGTGGAGATGGCGCGGCGGTAGGCGAGGAAGAAGTCTGGGTGGTCGACGCAGGAGATATTGGTGCCAGGGACGTGAAGCGAGCCTGCGCCGCCGACGAAGACGAAGTACGATGCGGGCCGTAGCTTGTAGGCTAGCAGGATCTTGCGAACGGATTCTAGGAACGGCACTGTTGTTGATCAATCATTGGTTACTGGTATCTTGTCAGACTGAAACGTACTGTACAACAAAGCCCCAGGACCAGCTGTGTGCGGCCCGAATTCGCTGACTAGAACATCGAGGCCTTCAAAAACTGTTGAAAGTTCTTCTATGGTGACTTGGTCGACATCTACTGGCCTAGGAATGTAGCGCGGATGCTTTCCCACTTTCTCGGGGTTGCGTGATATGCCAATCACGGTATGGCCTCGATTCAGCAACTCGACAGTGAGATAGGATCCTCCGAAACCTGCAGGGCCGATAACGCCTACCCGCAGGGGCTTTGATGACATGATGGAATAGAACAATAATGAAGTTATTTGGGATTGCGCTCAGATTTTGGCACTTGAGTGTGAAGCAGGTGGGCACATGTCGCGTCGCGTTCACATGACTACCATGCTATGCCGTCAAATGCAAGGTTACGCGTGTTCAATGGCAACGAGTTCGGAGTAGTACGCCGAGGTTGTTGTATTGGGGAAAGGCAATTGGGGAAGTGAGGGGATGATGTGGGGCTTGGGTAAACACCAAGGAGCGAATGACGCTAGCCGATCAAATGAGTACATTGGAAGAAAGACGACGAGCGTTGTAAATTGAGGCGTCTTGAAGGGAAAAAGTATCAGAAGGTTGAATCTACTACTGTTTCAAGATAGGGTATCATTTGGAAACATGACGTCGGCAGATAACTACGCGTTCATCGGTGAGCAATCTTACCCAGTACCTTTAGTAGACATTACTAACAATGACAAGGTCTCGGAGCGATGGGCTACGCAATGGCAGCCAACATCCGCAAGAAGATAGACCCATCTTCGACCCTCTACATCAACGACATCAACGCCTCGGCATGCTCCCGCTTCAAAACCCAATACTCGTCCTACGGCCCCATAGAATTCGTCGCTACAGCACGCGAAGCAGCGGAAAACGCGAAAGTACTGATCTCCATCGTACCAGGAGGAGAAGATGTAAGGAAAGTGTATCTAGATGAGAAAGACGGAGTGATTGCAGCGAAGAAAGACCAAGACAGGGTAATGCTAGAGTGCAGCACAATCGACGTCAACACCACAAAAGAAGTAGGCCAAAAGCTCAAAGAAGCGGGGATGGGTACATATATCGATGCCCCCGTATCCGGCGGCGTTCCAGCCGCAGAAGCAGGCACACTATCGATGTTGATCGGCCACCCACCACCAGAGCAAACACCAACTTCCTCAGCTTCTCCGGAAACGCGAATCTCGGCGACCCTCACAATGCTAGGCCCACCATCCAAAGCCTTCTACCTGAACACCCTCGGCGCCGGTCTCACCGCCAAGATATGCAACAACTACCTCTCCGGCACCATTCTCCTCGCCACCGCCGAAGCCCTCGCGATAGGCGTATCTCACGGCCTCGACCCCTCCGCTTTATACTCCGTGATCAAGAACAGCACTGGTCAGTCTTGGATGTGCGATCACGTTATGCCCATTCCCAATGTGCAGAAAGAGTATTGGGTGCCGAGTAACAGTGGGTATAAGCCGGGGTTCAAGACGCAGATGATGCTCAAAGATTTGGGATTGGGTATCGAGAGCGCGGGTCAGGTTAGGGTGAGGCCGAGTATGGCGGAGAGGGCATTGGAGGTTTGGGAAGAGGCGGCGAAAGACGAGAGGTGTGTGGATAGGGATGGTAGCAGTATATATTTGCATGTTGGAGGTCTTCTACCGAAGGGATGCGAAGACAAGGGGAGAAAGATTGAGGATGGAACGTGGGAGTTTGCGGAGTAAGGCTTCTGTCATATTTAATATACATAGTGGTATTGCGATCCCGTTCTGATGCACTCATGTAGTCTTCATACCGTCTACTTCCCCTGAAAGAAGTCCTGGAAGACCTCCATGATAGCATCAAAGCCTGCCGTCTCGCCCAGCTTAAGCACCCTCTCATCTCTTCCAATCTTTGCTGGATCACCATCTGGAACCCATCTGCTCGTGACACCATCGGCACTGGGCCCGTAAACCTTGGCACACAACTTGTCGGCCTTTACAGGCGGCCAAGGGTCCTCACCGTTGACGAATTTGATGAAGTCTTCTCCGTACTCTCGTGCTACCTTCTGTTGCGCATCGTCCAGGTGCTCGTTGTAGTTCTGGAAGAGGTACGATACATCGAGAATGTGGCCTGCTTCGCCCTTGAAGCGACCTTCCCAAGGTATTCCTTCGTTGAAGTGGTAGAGGAAGAACTTCGAGTCGGGTGTGTTAGGCCAGCCTTGAGCGAAGGCACGAGCGGGCGCGTAGAAAGATATCTCGGAACCAAAGCGCAGTATTGAAAGCATAGCCTCTTCGTCCGGAATCTCAGGGGTTATTTTGTAGGATGTGAGAAGCTGTTCCGCAACCTCTGGCTTGGCGGACAGTGTGGCGTTGCAGGAGTCGATGAACTTTTGCGCGACGCCCGGCTTGCGAGCATCGAGGCCAAGGTATGCAATGATGTTCGCCTAAAAGAATGAGCTCACACATTTCGAGAATCACGATATGAAACTTACGTCCAGCTTTGACTCTCCGATCATGAAGGCCTTGCACCACTTCCTGCCCGGCATCATGAAAGCTGGGCTGTCTTCTTGAGATGAGACGGTAAGGAAATCTGGTGAGCCCGGCATGGTATCTTTGTCGACTGAAGGCAGCATCGGTGCTGTGGGTGGCACCTTCTGCCATAGATCATCCAAGGGTATATTGAGGAGGGCTTTGATACGATCCTCTGGCGACTTGTCCGTCAGCCCAAATGCTTCGACGGCTTTTTGATACGAGGACTCTGCCACAAAATCTGGGATGGGCTTGAACAGTAGCACAGCTCCTCCAGTACTAAGACAGCGCTTCATCAGCGGCTCCTCCGAGCAGAGCAATACTGTCGCAGATACTGAATATGTTAGTCGAGCTCTTATGTCAATAGTGTCAACAACATACGTCCACCAGCGCTCTCTCCGCATACTGTGATCTCATCTGCGTCACCCCCGAATCCGCCTATGAACTTCCTGATCCACTGTAGAGCCGTGCGCTGGTCGTGAAAGGCGTTGTTCGCTTTGTATCCTGCTTTGCGCAATTCTTCGGAAGTCGCAAACCCTGTGAAACCCAATCGATAGCTGTATCTATTAGTAGACGACTTGTGCTTCAGGTTGTAAGACCCACTTGATAGTGATACCGATGATGGGCTTTTTTCTCTCGACAGACATCTTCACAATGGGAGCTGGATCGTAGTGCGGGTACCAGCTACTCCCAACAGCAAAGCCGCCTCCATGTATGAAGACAAATACAGGCAACTTCGCGTTGGAGTCAATAGCTCCATCTTTGTTAGTCGGCACAGTAATGTTGAGGTTCAGACATTCGAGGTCGGAATGCGTCGGAACCTCTGGAAGTGGCAGGGAATGTTGAATGAAGCCGAACTCGCGTTCAATGGCACCGACTGGAGATACTGGAGGAGGACTATTCAATTAGTAAATGGTGACCGGCGTCACCAGTTGACGTACCCAAATTTGGTGGCATCCGTAGTTCCAGATCCATAGCTGTCAACGAGCTGGGGTGCAGCCAAGCGATCTTTCAATGAAGCATACTTCAGGCCAAGAAATTGAACTGCGCCATCTACTGTCTTTCCTTCTATTTCACCTAGGTCTTGGTGCTTGAGGGTCTCCGACATGTTGGCTGCTGCGTGGGATGGGATGGTAGGAAGCAAAGGATCGTTCCATAGACTAACAATTGTTTACTATTGCCTAGTGTCTGTTTGGATTGGCCGAAGGAAGTTGCGCATCCCTGGAGCTGCTTCTCTGGAAGCAGGTACGTTGGGGGCAATGATGGTCCGACAATTACCCCGCACCTGTACCTGCCATTTCAGTAGTGGGGCAATCACCCGCGACCAAACATCGCGTGCGGGATGTGGGGGTACTACAGCGACTGCGCCTCGCATCGATGAGGATATCGTAATTCGCTCGATATCTGAGCTCGGCAATTAGCAAGCATGTGCTCGGCTAGATAGGGTGCTACCTAGGTAGATGTACTTGTTACACGCAGTCAGTTGCTTGCACAAATGACACCAACAATGGAGGCCGGCCTCCCTCATACTGATGCCTTTGTCAGTCTTGCTCTCCTCGATGGCGGCAGCTTTTTAGGAGATCTCAGCCGCCTGCATGCTGGTGAGAGCGGCACATTTCGCATGTACAACTGGGCGTTTTACATCTCGCACCAGGGAAGACACATA